TGGCTGAATGTCTGTTTTTTGGGGAGCCCAAAGTCCTGGAGTTGAACTAGGGGCGGCCCTGTGAGCTGCGTGTCCTCTGGAGGTGTTGGACTACAACTTCTATCAGGCTTGCTCAAGGAAGATGAGCATCATGGTCCTTCACAGCACCTGCTGCAGAAGGCTTTGCTAGGGCATTGTGAAATGTATATATAGAGGAAACATGATGGGGATGGAGAAGGAAAAGCACGTCTGCTTTAGTTTGATGAGTAAAGCAGTGAGGCCCCCTCCCCCCCACCTCCCTCTCTCTCTGTCTCTCTCTCTCACACACACACACACACACACAATATCTATTTGTGTGTCATACTCGCATGTTCTGTCCCATAAGTGGCATCTTTTCCTGGCGATGAGAAGACACACACAAGAAGGGATAAATATATCCACCCTTCCCCTTCCGCGCCACAGCCCTCGGCTGCAGCGCACCCCCGTGGGGCGAACGGGGGGGGCGCCTGGGGGGGGGGGGGGGACACCAGGCCCCAGGCCCCAATGCAGGGGCTGCAGCATGTGAATAGTTGTCCCCTTTTAAAACCAGCCCGAACTGGACTTTCCCAGCAATGGCAAGGGGTGTTTGTTCAGACGGGCCACAAAACGTGCCACACAATCTCCCCAGCACACAACTCTCGTTAGGTGACTGTCTTAAAAAATTATCCCGGCAGGGCGGCGAGCTGCAAAGCGAGACGGGGCAGAGGTGCCCAGTGGGGCTGCAGCCCTGGGAGGCCATGCTCCCACCCCCTGCTCCTGCTCTCGAGGGGCACTTGCTGAGGCAAAAGTCCGGGGCCCTGAGGACACCTCCTGCGCTGTTCCCCTTGCAGGAGTGGCTCTGGGTGCCCCGGGGCGCACCTGCCGCTCCCCCTGCCACATCCTTCTGCCGGGGTCTTTCCCTGACAGCCAATGTCCCTCCCTCCCCGCCCGCCCATCCCCTTGTACAAATAGGGGTATTGCCCCGGCCACACACACAGGGGCTCCAGAGCAAATGCGGATGAGGAGGAGCCAATAAGTGCTTTTCGCCCTCGAACTGAGGCTCCCGCTCTGGATCCAACTTGACTTCCCAGAAGGCTTCTGGGCTCCACAGGGCATTCTGGGCTAAGGGCCTCCTCTCTGACTCACCTCAGTTTTGCTGTCTGTGAAATGGATGCTGCAGAAACCTGTGGGTTTAAAAAAAAGAAAAAGAGCGTTTCAGAGCTTGGACAGCCTCCCCTTTATGGGCAAGTCACTGTCCTTTTAGCCTTCTGGCTTCGGCTGAGAGCAGCCATGCCTATTGAGGCTGCGATTCGGTGAAAGCACCCACAATAGGCTCCCAAAATCCCAAATGTGCCCACCAGCCCCCAAAGCATCAGGGACCCCCATTTCGGAGGAGGGTGGACAGATCTGTGGGGTTGGAGCAACGGTGTCCCAGTTGCTGCTGGATGGATGGCTTGCGTGGAACCTCCAGAGTCAGGGGCAGTCTAGCTCTCTGAATGCCAACTGCTGGGGGCAAAAAGCAGGAGGGGTGCCCATCTGGGCATCTGGTTTTTCACTGTGGGGAACAGGAGGCTGAAGTAAAGGAACCTGCAATCGAACCAAATAGGGCTCCGTTTCCTGAGACCCTACTGAATAAAATTATATTTACTGTGCAACTTCCCAACAGGATTTCCAGAGAATCAGACTAGTGGCCTTTCCAAGCAGCGTGTGGGTTCTGCCGGCAAGATCCAGCCCTGCCTAAGCAGCTCTCTGTACACACAGCCCAAACCTCAAGGTACCCTTTTGAGTCACTGAGGGAAATGTGAGATTATAGCCATGTCACTGCTAAATGAATGTACTGTCAGAAGGAGAGAATTGTTCAGAGATTATTGTATTTTTCTGTTACAGTAATACAGTAGAACCAAAACAGGAAAGGCAGACAAGCAGACAGAAAGACACTCTCCATCAGTTAAAATTGTCCTTTATTGATTGACAGCACCGTAACAAACAGCATGGACCATATTTTTGCTGATTTTTTTAGTGCTCTTTCACAGTAACACACTGGAGACAAAATAGCAGAGCAATAGAAAGATGTGCTATCAATTAAACCTGGATCACTGTCCAGAGATGCTTACAGTGACATACCGGTCACAAAATGCCTTTTTGCTGACTAACCCACAAAAGCTGTGGTTGGAGAACTAGGCTTCGTCAAGTTTTCAGTCTCTGGCTCCCACACGTTCCTCTTCTCAGGACTCTTACATAAAAGACACAGGAATTCATCCTGTCAGGTGGATGATGGGAAAGACTTCCCCTGTTGAATTTCTGGGAAGGAGGGCAGGGCGAGCAACCGTGGCAGAGCGTGTCTTGGGCACAGGGGAGAGAAGGACAACGGATCTTTTCTCTTGGCCAACGAAAGCCGCGTCTTCTTGGGATTTGGCCGTGCCACCAACACACCACAGATCAGAAGAACCACAGCTCCCCGCAGCAAAGCTGGTTCGCCCCACCGGGAAATCAGCCCACCCGAACCCCACACCCAAAACTCCGCACAAAACTGTGCCCACCAGTCATTCTGCAAGGACGAGGCTGCCAGCCCGTCAGCCGACCCGGCTTCCCATTGCCCCCCCGCTTTCTGCCCGGTTCTTGTGGTCGAGTGACTCACCCAGTCCAACACCGCTTCCTTGTCAGTTTCTGTTTGACTTTGATTCAGCCACAAGCTGGGCAGGGTTTTGAAACCCCAGCATCAGATTCCGAGCACCGGGTGGGGTGGGGTGAAGGGTTGAGAGAAGAATGAACAAACATGTTTTCATATGACTCCGGTAACCTCTAACAGCTGGTGGAAGGCTGGCCAAAAAAAAAAAAAAAAAAAAGCAGCATCTGTTGAATTTCTGCCTGCCTGCCACTGATTGTGTGATGAATGCATTAAAGGCTCTGTAGTGGGGTTTATTTATGCTGGCCATCTCAGCCTTGCAGGTTTATTATGTAAACCATCTACAGAGCCAGAACACATACAAAAGTGTTTAGGAAACAAACAAACAAACAGCAGGCCAGTTTCTGAGGGGGGGGGGTTCCAGGCATCAAGGCATTGGAGGAAAGCTCCAGAAAAAATGGACAGGTAAGACTACCTACCAGGAGAGAGAAGCTGAGATCATGAGCCATGATCCAGGAGGAAAACCAAATGCACACTCTGTGCATGCTCAGAGAACATCTGAGAACAAGGAGCCTTGCACAATTGTTTGCCTTGCAGGCCACTCCTAGTATTTTGAATATGGGTTTGCTTAGCCCTGAGGGCCACCTTTCCCCTCACACTTTCTCTCCGAGATTATGTGAGCAAAACAGCCCAGTGCAAGAATGAGACAGCATCTCAACCTTGCCAGACTGAGGAAGCAGCTCAGAGGCATTCTGCTCATGCTCAGACCCGCTCTGGCCTGGGTTGCACTCTGCTGCACCTCTTCCGTGCCACTTTGATGTAATTTAATCCACAATGCTGATTCAGGGCAGCCTACTAAATGCTCGCTCTTCGCGATCTCGTGTCATCGATCTGTCTGACGATGCTGCCCAAGTCCGAGACGAGAGCACCGGAAGCAGAGGGACCACTGGCTACCCTCACCTGAGATGCTTCGATTAAAACCGCGCACAGATCCTGCTGACAGATCTCCCTGGAGGACGCCTGCCAGCCTGCCACAGCTGGGAGTTCCCACATTTCCCGGTTGACACTGCTCTGATGTCATCACACCTACATCCCAATCGCATGGGGTTTGGGTGCATGTGACCTGGGTTCAGATCCCTGTTTGGGTGGCTCCGTTGGCCTGAAAACAAAGCCGTGACTCAGTTTCTCTGGCCTGTAAAATGGGGAGAAAAGGTGCGCATAGGGAGGGTCTCGATGGGGACCGTCTCAAGACAGGCGTGGTAAGACTTCGGTGGGCTTCTCCACGTGGGTTTGAAGCCGCGGGGTGGGGGGTGGGAATTCTTGTCCTTTCAGCCCTGGGGTGTGACGCAGTGGGGAGGCCGGATTTTGAGCCATGGGATGGCAGGAATCGAGTCACCGTGGGTCAGAGACCAGACTGGAAGCTGTGAGTCACAGCATGGGCGTGTGAATGTCCATCAGCTGTTCCCTGAAAGGAGACTAGGACGGAAGATGAAGATGTTCTGTTCGCCTGCAGGTAATGGGGGGGGGGCTTCTAGGGCCTCATGCCTTAAAAAAAGAAAGATGACAACTGTGACTCTGGCCATGCCTGGACAGCCAGCCCTCCAGCCTCAGGGAAGGAAGAACCTGATTTTCGCCCGGGGTGGGGTGGGGGGCCGCCTTTGGCCTTTTTCTTCTGCTTTCCTTTTATAAGAATTTGCATTGGAAGCAGGACAACAAACCCGGCGCATCCAGTTCTCAAAAGGCAGCATCTGGCGGCCGCCCCCCGCCCCCCTGGTCGCCCCCCACCCCAGCTCTGCCTGCATCCAGGACGGGCCCCCAGTGCGGTTCCAAAAGAGCATGCGGCCCTTGGGTGAGGTTCCGCACCCAAGGCGCGGGGGGGGGCACGTCCGAGGAAGGGCTTTGGGGGCGACCGGGCCCCTCCGCAGGGGGCCGAGCGCGCGCGCCGCAGTGCCCTGCCCTTCTAGCCGCGGGATCCCATGGAAAGGGCAGGCGGCGGGGGGCCCTCCGGCCCAGGGGCGGGAACGCGGGTCCCTGGCGGAGACGTCCAGGAGCCGGGTTCCACCTCGGCGGCCGGTAGGCGGCCAGCTGGCCGCAGCCCCGTTCCGCCGCAGGCCGCTGCCGGAGGCCCCAGCCGGGCGAGCGATCCTGGCGGGCACCCCATGCGCGCGCCCGCGCGCGGCCCCGGCGGCAGCGTTGCGTCACGGCCCGTCTCCCCCTGGAGCAGCCTGCGGCGGCCGCCTCCGCCCCCTTCGCCTTCCTCGCTCCGTGGGCCCTGCCCCCCAGCCCTCCTCCTCCTCCTCCTCTCCACGCCCCACCCGGCAGAATGTCCCTACTCTTGCGCGCCTCTGCGCGTGTGGCATAAAAACTTTTCGAGCGCCTCCCAGACATTAAAAACCCGCAGGCGGGCGGCGGGACGCTTCGGCGGACGGAGCAGCTGCCCTCGGAGACGGATTGAGCCCCTGTTCTGCCGCGCTCGCCGGACTCGCCCTCCCGACGCGCGGATCCGGAGATGCTCGCCGCCCAGCGGTGAGGTCGGGCGCCCGCTGTCCAGAGGCCCCGCACGGATTCCGACGTCGCTCGGGCGCCCGCTGCCCAGAAGAGGCGCCCGGTCGCGCTCCGGTCTGCTGGCCCCGGGAGGCGCTTCGGGACCGGGTCCTCCTGTCCTCGTTCCCGTGCGCGACTTCGGTGAGTCCCTCGCAGCCGGGGCGCCCAGAGCCTCGTCGGGGCTTGACTCCGGGGGTCTGCGCCCCCGAATTCCGTGGGAGATCCCCCGCGCGCGCACAGACAAAGGTTTCCGCCGTGGGTTGGCTGCCATCGCTTCTCTCTGGCTGCGGTTCCACCCGCACGGACCGCTGCCTCTCACTCCCGAGTAGACAGTGCCCGTGCTTGGCTGGTGGATCGTTTCCTGCAGCATTAATTCTCGCTCGTCCGTGCCCGTCCCTTCCCTGTTGAACTTGGGGAGCTCGCGTGGATATTTCGCGTGTCCTCGCTTGAGCCTCTGAGAAGAAACAAAGAAAAAAACCGGGTTTGTTTTATTCTGTTTTTAAGGGAGAACTGAATCAGTGGCCACACTCCTAAAACTCCCAGCCTTTGGATTTTCAGTCGCTGTCTCCTTGGGGGAGGCGGGTGATTCCTGCCCAGGACTCCAGTGAGACTTCCTCTAGAGTAAACGTTCATAGCTTTGCAGAGATTAGGCGAACCAGCCCTTCCGCTGTTTGGGTTTTTTTTGGGGGGGGGTACTTCCCAGTGCAACCCTAAACTGGACCGTTGTGAAGGAAGCCCCACTGGGCTTCATATCCCTTAGACTGCAGCCTTATGCGTGCATAGGATTGGGGCCCCGGTGTCCCACAAGCGCGAGAGAGAACTCACTTCTCGGTTTTGCGGGGAAAGGAGGACATGGGATGCGTTGAGGTGGGGAATCCAGCGGGGAAGGTGCCGATCAGCAATAGGGGATGAACCTGAACTGTGGGGAAACCCAAGACGGGGAGAACACGCTGGCCTCTTTGTGGAGCTGGTGCCCCACTGCCCAGCAATAAGCTGAAATGTTCTTGATCCGCGTTTTCTGGGCGGGGGGGGGGGGCATCGCTTCCCCACGAACAAGTCTGCTAGGTCTCATGAGTATCCAAAGTGCTTTTCCCGAGCTGAGTTGCCACAACCTTGCCTGGCAAGGCGACAGATGTGGAGGGGAGGGAGCAGAAATGGGCTGCCCCAGGACCTAACCCTCACAACTCTCTGTGACAGACAGCAAAGCCTTGTTCTGCCAGGCAAGAACCAGGTCTGCGTCAAGTCAAGCCTTTTCCAGCCAGCGCAGCCTTCTCCTCCCCACAGCATGAGGGCTAGAAACTTTTCAAAAGCAGCAAAGCCAAAGAAGGGCATTGTTCAGGGAAATAGGCAATTCCTTGGAAGAGAAACTGTTTGGAGTGCCCTCCTTTTCTCACATATGGGAGGAAGGGGCTCCTCTGGAGACGCACACCTATTTCCCTGTGTTTTAATTTGGGGGAGATGTAGACCCAAAGTCTCTGTCGTCATCCACATGGCCAGGAACCGCATATTCCAAGAGAGAGTCCACCCCCATTCCTGGCTCCGTCTAATATATTTTTCCAGGAATCAGTTTACTGCAGTGTTCCTGGTCGTTTGGGAGGGGACGCAAATTCCCTAGCTGCCCAAGCCCACAAGAGGCTGCGGGGGATGGGGGGGGAGAAGCTTCTAAAGGACACAGGCACCCACACGCGTCAAGAGTGCTTAACCTCTGTAATTCCAGAAGGGCAGCCATGTAAGTCCATTGTAGCAAAACCAAGTCAGAGCCCTGTGGCACCTTAAGGGGATCCTGTCTTGGTACAGAATGCTGGCCCTTCTCAGAACGCTGCGCCTTGCCCTTCAGGCCCCAGAAATCCCGCACTGGGATCCCTGGAATGTGTGGGGAGCACCCCTGCTTTTTGCTTCGGAGCATACACTTGCTGCATGCTCAGAGGCACCCCGTTCTTCCCTTCTGCGTGGCCAAGCATCTGCATCTAAAGGTTGAAGGAGACTTTGTGTGTAGGGGGGAGGTTTTGAGGGGGTCCTTTTCCAGAAAACTGGCCCCATACACACATGCAGGCACTGCATTTTCCTTCGGTGTGACGGCTTCAGCCTCCCAGAGGTTGGCCAGGGGTGCGGGTGCTTGCAGTCCAACTGAAGGGCGCCGGAACGCACGGCGGTTTCGGGGAGGCGTGCTTGTTACTAGACAAAGAAGAGATTCTTTGTCTAGAAATCAGGCCAAGAGAAGGTGGAGGTGGCCGTGGGGACTTCCTAGCATTGTGGAGGGCTGCGGGCTGCTGGGGGCAGGAGGAAGGCCGTGCGTTGGAGCATATTCTCCGGCTCCGTTTGCCGGAAGGAGAGTGGGGAGGGAGGGGGAGGCCTGGGTGCCCGGTATGCTTCATGCAGGTCCCTGTGGGGGCGAGGTCGTGTCCCAAAGCCCCGCTGCTTCCGTGCACCCCAAAGATCCCTCCAGCCTTGGCCGGGCCAGAGACAAGAGAGTGGAGCTGCGTTTTCTTCCTTTCTCTCTCTCTCTTTTTCGTGGGGAGGGGTCACAAGTCATTTTACAAGGGCAAGCAGGCATTGCTTCCGGGGGGGGGGGGGTGTGGGTGCTGGTCTCGGGGGGGCAGGATGATGGGACAGTGAGTGGATTCGGCATGGAAGCCTTCTGTTGACAGAGAGCCAGAAAGTGTTCAGTTTGCATTGCGTCCCTCTTGTCAGAGCGCAGATGTGGACCCAGACACCCGGTTTCCGCTTTGCCAAAAATGGGGGGATAATTCATGTCCTTTAAGGAGCTAAGTTTCCCTGAGCCATAGGGAGGGAAACTTACAGACTGCTAAATCTGTTGGCAATGCCACAGACTTGGAAGAGGGTGTCTCTGAGCATGTGCAGAGTGCATTTCCTTTTCAGCCAATCCCTAAATATTTGATTTGGCTTAGGTGTCTCATTGTTCATAAAATGCCATGCACCCTCAATGAACCTGGACTGTGATTGGGGGGCGGGGGCAACACCCTTGTTTATTAGGGGGGCTGTCTTAGCAGCAACTCCATGGGGGCAACAGAAAGATTACATTGCTAAGGACGCAGGGGTGTTGAATGTGGCGACCCTCTTCTCCTTAGCATAGCGTTAGGAGAGGCGCATTGCAGCCACAAGCATCAAAACCTCGCTTGCGGGCTTCTGTGCTTCCAGCAAAGGGGCGCACTTTGATGCCATGGGCGCGGTTGGAACTGCGAGGCCGTCCAGTTCCCTACGGAACTTGGATTCTTTGACTTAAGAAACTGAAATGCTGGAAGAGCCGCTAGCACCTCCCCGTCCCCTCCTTCCCTTATTCCGATTTGGTGGGCTGCTGCAGGCGCCAACTTTGGAGTGCCACAGAACCCTTTCATGGCAGCAGAGCTGCTGAAGCGTCTCCGTCGCAAGTGCGTGCCTGCCAAGTTGTTTGTGTCTCCTTTGACGTGTGTTAGCCAAACACACTTTGTGGTTTCCTGCCATGGAAATGGGCAGAGTCTCACAGAGACAGGCGGGGAGCCGGCCCGACTTGAGTGACAGATACTGCCTGCGTCATTGGCTATGGATTGGCAAAGTTTCCTGACACCCAATTGTCTCACGAGCACGAAGCCAAACTGCTTTTTTTTTTTAAGCCAAGATGCACCGGGTTTTAATATTTTTATTATTATATTTATTATATGCTTTTGTTTGTCTTTGTTGTGAGCCGCCCGGAGGCTTTGTTGCGATGGGGGCGGCATAGAAATGTTTTAAATAAATAAATAAATAAATAAATAAATAAATAAGGTTAGTTGCTGAGAAAAGATCCCTGTCATAGGGAGGAAGTGAGCTTCAGAGAACTTGGTTCATTTCTGGCTTTTTTCCTGCAAGAAAACCAAGGCAGCCCTCAGAATCATTTCCTTCTCTTTCGCTTGCTATGCTCACAACAACCCTGGGAGGTGGGTCAGCCTGAGAGGCAAGTCTCCCAGTCAGTCCTCCGAGTCCCAGACCAGCATCCCAACTCCTGAGCGATGCCGTTTATCACAAATCCTGGGCAGAACGTGTTCAAGACAAGCCCCTTCATTTGCTCCAAACAAACTCTTTTCAACCATGTTTGGCAGCTCATAGGGGCCAAATGCAAAACCAAAATTTATCCCAACCTCTGGCCACCCTTCTGTATCTAACAGCCGGGGAGGCAGCAGAACAGACCTCTGCACCAAAAGGAACATCTGAAAAAAAGATACTAGGGCTTCATTTCTTCCTATACACACAAAGGTCATTTTTGCTTTTAAACTCTAAGCTCACAGGGCACAGAGACCTGTTCCTCGTACTTATGACTGCACCATATCCGAAATGATGCTACATGAATAATACCACCTCTATACCCCTACTCCAATCCTCCAGGATATATCTTATTTACATAATTTTAACATTAGCTGGCTTTAGCTGGCAACCTTCACAACAACCCTGTGAAGGAGACTAGAATCACATGGCAGTGACACAGCCCAGAGTTTTGTGGCCGTGAACAGAATTTGAACCCAGGTCTGGGCCAGCCACACACACCCCCCCCCCCTTATTAATTCATCTTTGCCTTCCGGAACACGCACATATAATGTTTTGCAGCGGCAATGGCTTTATTCTGCCAGCAGAGGGCGCCCTTGCTTTGCTGACTCATTCCTTAGAAAATCTCCAATTGGAATTTATGTCGATTTTCTGTCCCTGTAACCAAAAGCGGACGCAGACCCCCAAATGCTGCTGTTGCTGATTTTTATGCACTGGCAAGGGGTCCAGGCTGCCAGATTCACAGCTCAGCCCCTTGAGTCACCTTCAGAAGCAAAGGAAAACTAGCAAAGCAACCTGTCGCGACCTCAGAGCACCTTGGATTTAAGATCCAGGGGAGCAGAGAGGCTAATTTTCCTTCCCAACTGCCTGCAAAAATAAACCTCAGCTTGCATTTTGCTTTCATCGAACCCCCGTTGCCTGCTGATGGGCGGCTGGGAGCAGAAGGAGCAGAATGGATGCTTTTCTCAAAATTTGAATGACAGTCTTCCTAGCCGGTAAGATTACCGAGGTGACCTGAGAGTACCCCAGCTTAGAAGAAAGAGCAGGGTGCTGTTTGCCTGGATCACTTGCGTGGTGACAGCAGAACAGCCCGGAATAGCTGGAGTCATATTTCAGAATGGAGCGATTCCGACCTTGGGCAAGGCCTTTGTCCTCTTTCCAAAGCCTTTCCGTCGTCCTTGGCTTCCTCGCCCTCGTTCCTCGCCAGTTCACCCTGCACACCACCACCCCTGCGCAGCTGATCGGTGCGAAGGCAGGTCCTCAATCGGCACCTCAGAAGAAAATGTCCTGTACAACCGATAATGCCGCCTTCCCCTCCCCAGAGGTGGGGCAGGAGTGGGAACGGTTGACGTTCCAGGGCCCCATCAAGGTGATAAGAGCAGCCTCTGCACTCCAGCTTGCCAAGAGTGCCACGGGAAAACGCCCGCGATCAGGTGCCAAAGAGTCCCGTGACTCTCCAAAGCTTCCCCACTTGGGTATTGATCTGTGGTGGCACAGAGATAGACTAGTTTGACATCTGTGGGAGGGCTGCTGCCCGCACCACAACCTAGCCTAGCCTTCTCTACCTCCGTTGGCAAACTAGTATTATGCATTATTTTTCAAAGCCCATGTATTATTTTTCTAAATGTACCTCTGGGAGCACATGTCAGAGGTCGGTCCCATTCCGGGAGTTACTCCCAGGTTCAGCAAAGATGGGAGATCTGCCCGGATTTCAGGTCCAGTGGGATCTGCCTGGCTTTCTTATTGCTCATCAGTGGGTCAGACTGGATGACCTCTTGGTTTCCTTCCAAGGGACTCTGACATAGCACTTTGAAAGACAGGAGGATGGGATCAAAGGCAGTTCTCTCCCTCTCATCACCAGGGAATAATGTTCCTGGCTCTTTGCTCTCTGAATCTTCTCTCTCTCCCTTTGGTTAGTAGTTAAACTAGTTGGAGTTAGACCAGAACCAGGTGTGGCAGGACCTGCATCCGAATCAGCACTTATCTGTGACCACTGTTTTGTCTTTGAGCTTAATTTATTGATTTACCTTTTCACTTGTATGCGGCCAGCTAGCATTGCAGGATCTCTAGGCAGCTTGCAACATAGATTGAAAACACAGCCTTAAAAAGAATAAAACATCATATTAAAAAAATCAAAACAACAATATCACAGTGGCCATTTAAAATATAGCAAGTGAAAAGGACAACTGTATACACCATTAACGCTGAATAGATAAACATCAGTTGTGAAAATGCCTGGTAAAAAGAGATGTATTTGCCCAGTGCTGAAAAGAGAATTGATGGCAGGCGAATCTCTCTGGGGATCCTATCTTGTTAGTGGGGGTAATCACCGAGAAGACCCTTCCATTTGCCGTCCACCTCACCCCCTTGATGGACGGCTCTTTTAGAAGGCCCTCCTGCCCAGATCTTAATGGTGGGGGGATAAAAATAGGAGAAGACAGTGCTTTAGCCTGATCCTAAGCCCTTGAGTTGACTCGCTGGAGAAGAGCCTAATGCTGGGAACAATTGACGGCAAAAGGAACAATTGACGGCAAAAGAAGGAGGGGGCGGCAGAGGGTGGGGTGGCTGGACGGAGTCGCTGACCCGGTTGGCATGAGCTTAGGTGGACTCTGGGGATGGTGGAGGACAGGAAGGCCTGGAGGAGTGTTGCCCGTGGGGTCGCGATGGGTCAAGCACGACTTCACGACTAACAACAACAAAGCCATTGAGGGCTTTTTATGTCTAAAGAAGCTCGTTAGATTGGGCCCAGTGGTTCTGACCACCCTAAAGGGTTTTGGGGCAGGTAAAAAGGGGCAACCGGGATGCAAATTCTGTCTGGGGGCCTTTGAGGAAAGGGATGTTAGCAGAAGGAAAAGGACTGGTGCATGCTCAGGGCAGAGAGCTTCTCCAAGTTGGGCCCAGTTGGAAGGCTCTTCTGCGCAACAAACGGGACAGTCGTGAGGGGGCTGCTTTTTCGGATGTGCTTCCCCCCACAAGCCAGGTGCCCAGTGCGCAGATCTGGGGAGCTCTCTCCCATTCAGTGCACATAAGCAGTTGCACAAAATTGCTATAGAAACATAGAAACAGAGCGAGTCAGAAGGGGCTTCCTGGGCCATCTAGTCTGACCCCGGCTCAGCTGGCTCCACTCACAACATGCCCACCATGTGTACATCCAGCCTGTCCTTGGACACCCGCACCGATGGGGCCTCAACCACCTCCCAGGGAAGCCCATTCCACACCCTGGGGGTCCTGACTGTTATGTGCACTTTTCCCACACCAACTAAAGGGCCAAAACTAAATGACCTCTATGGAATTCGTTGGAGGAATGCAAAGATTAAGCTTTAAATCCTTCATGGCTTGGAAGCCTCATCCGCTAATGCAGCAGCTCAAGGCAAGCTGAGGCCCTCTGCACATGCTTCCAAGAACACTGCTCTTCTGTCCTGGTGTCCCCACTCTTCTCATCCTCTTCTTCCCTTCAGCTACTCTTTTGCTGCCCTTCAAGGAGTCAAGCTTCTAGTCCTCTTGAGTGCTCCCTGCCGTCCAGAAAAGGGGAAATGCAATCAAAGCATTTTGCCTCCAGTTTCTGGCCCAACCCACAATGAGCCGTGTGCTGTGCAGTTCTAGGGATCCGTGAGGTGCTGTGCAGGTTCTGTGAATGTCGGAACATCTCGGTGCGTGTAGGGGGAAAGCAGGGTATGTGGGGTTTGCTAGAGTCTTTCTAAGCTGAGTTCAAGATCAAGCGCACGTGCAAAGAACTCGGAGACTTCCCCCGATTCCGGGTGCTGCCGTGGAGTAGTAGCAGTAACATTAAGAAAAGGATTTTCTGCTTTGTTGATTTTAAGTTTCTAGCCCCTCCTGTTTTCCATAGCACTGCTGGCAGTCTGCCCTCGTTGCACCCGTTCTTTCAGAATTAGGTCAAAGCTGCAATTAAGGCCATGCGTCTTTCATTTTTATTAATTATGGCCATTGTATTAATATTAAGAATTATTATTTCAGGTCTTTTTTTCTTGATTTCAAGTTTCTGGCCTCTTCTGTTGGAGGAAGAGAAGGCTTCTCCAAGTTCCACTCATTCCTTTAAAATCAGATTGCCGCTGGGACAAAAGCCCCCCTAAAAATTCTGAGTGGTACCAAAGCCGTAACGGGAGTGACCCGTTGGGTTTGCAGGCCAAAGCCGGCAGGGCGCATGGGGCAGAAAATGTTTGTTTATTCTTGCTGCCATCTGTGCAAAGGGGTGGATGGGCAGAGTTGAGGCGAATATTTGATTTCAGAAAAAAACTCAAGGCAGAAGGATTTGCCCAGGAGCAGGCAGCGGGGCGAGGGGAGCAGCCAATTAATCTGGGGGCAGGATGCAGATTCAGGGCCTCTGAAGTGCCTCAGGGTAGCAAGGAGGGACCTTGCACTGATTTGGGCCTCCAGGATTCGGGGCTCCACTCTGAGACTCTGCAGCAACCACTGCTCCCTGCAGTGCTGACCCCCACCCCAAAAAGGAACCAATGCAAAAACAACTTTTAAAAACATCAGCAGCCCCTTGTCTACTCAGAAGCAAGTGCTCTTGGGTCATGGATTGTAATCCCTGGCTGACAGAACAAGGCCTGCAACCTAATTATATTCAAAGAGAAACCTTTCCCCCCTTTTTAATTGTGCCTTCCTAAATTTACAAACAAGACAGCTTTATCATCTCATCATGTGTGTGCGCGCGCACGCGTGTGTAAACATAATTTTTATTTTATTGATTGTTCAGATACATAGTGGAAACTGTTTAGACTAAAATGCCACAGGAGCAGTTAAAATACAAGATTGCAAATAATATTCATTATATAATTATAACCCGTGTCGTCCTTTCTGGGTCGAGGGGTGCGCATGTATAGACAAGAGAGATCATCCACCCCATTTTTCTATAAAGCTCTTTGTTGTAGAAATAATATATTATGAATGGAGTCCTTTAAAGGGGGAAGGAAGTGGGGGGGCTGCATGGGGGCGGGCTTCTGAGAAGCGCGTGGGCGGAACCGCCCTCCATCCTGGCACCTCGAAAACTCCGCCCATCGTTGCTTTACCGCGGTGGGCGGGGAGGGAAGGGGGAAGAACCGACGTATCCGGTCTCCTTCCACGTGCAGGGAGGGGGTACGGAAGAGCCCCGAAGACGTCTGCTATTGGCCCAGAGCGTGCGCTCCGGGGCGCTCGGAGAGCTCGGATTGGCTGTGGCGGGGCCAGCCGAGAGTATTAGGGATGGAGGGGGGAAAAGATGAATGGGGAGAAGGAGGAGTGAAGCTCCGCCCCCGTGTAGAACGTTGATACATTATAACTTTTTTCCCCTCCCCTTCTCTTTCATCTCCCCTCCCTCTGCCCGGCGCCGGTTACTTTCACACCAGACTTCGGGAGCGGCGGCGCCGGAGCCGGCTGCTGTGCTTGTTTGTGTGTGGCTAGCCGCGGGTTCGAGCCCAAGGTGGGGAGGAAGGAATTGAGAGGGGGAGGTGGATTAAATATACAAATTTTTACGTCTACTTTTCTTTCATTGCTTTAGTCAATTTTGGTAAAAGGAGGAAGTAGATTTTTTCGTTACCCTCCTTTTCGCTCCCATTGTCAAAGCTGTTGGAAGGGGGTGGGTTTTTTGGGTAAGGGAGGAGGAGGGTGGGGGACTTAAAAGGACAAAAGGCGAGAGACAAAGAGAGGAAAAAAGACAGGGAAAAGCACGACGGAGCTCGCGCCGGGATCTGCTCCGAGCGAGGAAGTGGAGTCACTTCGGCGTCGTGTGGACGCGAGTGGGAAAGGCACGCCTTTGTCTACCGGCTCTGTGTTCATATCCTGCCTTCCCATCTCTCCACACCCACCCAGGTAATCGAATGGACCACCAACCCACCCCCAGGAGCTGCAGCCGGGGGCCCCCAGCCTGCGAGTCGGTTCAGAGCGACCCGTCGATGAATGTTTTCGTCCACACGACCACCGGGGCCCGGTATGAGCTCTCTGTGCCCGTGGAAGAGACGGTGGAAGGTCTGAAGCGCCGCTTGTCTCAGAGGCTCAAAGTCCCCAAGGAGCGCCTGGCCTTGTTGCACAAAGAAAGGTAAGAGAAGGCCACTCGCGCCCTCTTCCTCTCTTCCTCCGCGGCCCCGATTCACGATCAGTACGTGGGGCTTCGAATCCACCTGATTTTAAGGAGACTGACGGCGCTGTGCCGTGGCTCCTCGGGAGGAAAATCCACTGGGTTAAGTCGGACTCCCCCTCCCCCCCCGGGGGGGGTTCCCTTGGGTCTCCCGAGTCCGGAGCAGTTTTCTGAGCTTATGAACAAGCGTGAGGGGGAGTGGGTGGTCTACTCGGAAGAAAGCCTTACTGAAGGGCTCAAAGGGAGCTGTTCGTGTGGGTCTTCTCGAAAGCAATCCCCCTTTGGGTTAGGGGATGCTCGTGGTTCGGATTGTAGCCGGGAGAAACGCGGGTGGGGGCTCTCCTCGGAAGCGAACCCCACTGGTAACCCGGAGGGCTTCCTTCCCTGGAAAAGGGTGCCTTGGATCGCGGCCGGGCGGAGCCCAGCTCCTGCGTGGGTCTACTCGGAGGCCAGCTGCGCCGAATTCCGGGGTTTCACTCCCTGGAGAGGCGAGTGAGGCTGGCGACCTGAATTCTGACGGCGGAACTTAAAAGCTCTTCGAAAGTAGAAGCTGCATGCAGGAAAGTTGGCCTGATTTTTGTCGTGCGCTTCTTAGGCGAACACGCTGGTTATTTTCGGTATTTTTCCTGCAGATGAAGTTGTGCGCCCCCCACCCCCGGCTCTCTATCCCAGCGTTACGTTTGTTTCCAGTGTGCCTTTACAACTTTTGTGTAAAAATCGCACTCTTGTGTAAAAATATGCGTGTCTGTGCACATGCTACGATCATGCAAGAGGGTGGAGGGAGCCGAGTGCCAGAGCGTCCCTTTGACATGGGGTGGCGGGGGGGAGCTGTGTGCCTGGCCTGCAGCCTCCCACATCGCCCTGTCCCCCCCTCCATGTCCCTCCGCAGCGCGCCCTCCCTTTCCCCCTTGTGCTCTTTCCAACCCTGACAAAAGCACGAATTCCATTGCACAAAAATTAATTTGCCTGAAGCCCCCAGATTAAGGGTTGGGTTTTTTTTGTGATTTCTTCCGAGGGGGGCGCCTGGTGTGGTGAGCGAAGGAGGCTTTGCTTATTGCTGCCGGTAGATCTGCATGCCCCCCCCCGCCCGCCCCCGCCGTTTGCTTCGTCCTTTCTTCCTTCTGAAGAGAACGTGGGACTGGAGAAAGAGCCGGATTCGTTCTCACAAAGGCGTTGGAGAGATTGGCCTAGAATTCGTTTTAGATTCGACCCCCCCCACGTACACACACCCCAAATTTCCACCTCCTGGTCTTCCGCTTATGAAGGTGTCCTTTGTTCTGACGCTTGCTCTGGGTGGCGTGCAAAAATACACGCCTACACACCCGTGCAGTCTCACCATCACGCCACAGACCTGCTCCAGCGTGTGTGCATATATGTGAAAGTCCGTGTACATATATCCGTGTGTGTGTGTGTGATCTGTCAATTTTAGAAAGAAAATTGCCCTCTTTGTACGGAGAGGGGGTGAGAGAGGAATCTTACTGCAACACTGACTTTCAAGGGTCAAGGTTTGGGGAAAGGGGGAGTTTTGCAAACATAGGCCTATTTCTTTGTTGAACTAAATTAGCGCCCCCACCCCCCGCGCAGCTTTGTTAGAGAACAGGGGATGGATCAGTTCTTAAAATGAAAAACAGGTTTGCCCCTGCACTGCAAACCCTGGAATCTCTCCCCTCTGCCCCCCCCAACAAACCAGCTGCCCCCCCCCCCCAGTATTGATGCATCTTATTACATCATCTCCCTCCCTCTCCAGCTCCACTCAACCAGGAGCCAGGAAAGAACCAGCCCCTTAATTTCTTTGCAACAAAATAAAAACAGGGAACGGACTCTCCTTCACCATTTTTGGCCCCTTCCCACAATTGAGGAACTAGTTTTAATTTAGTGCAATGACCCCCAACCTGAGAATCATTACTGAACTGGGCCCAGCGTGCCTCAGTGGGGATGTTTTATTCCCCCCACACCAAGTCTCCTCTCCAAATGCATATTTTTTAAGAATACCACGAGCCCTTGGTGCTCCCAGACCCCTTTTGGGTTGCCTGGAATAGAACCAGGGTCAGGGACAGGTTGCAAGGAAGTAGTTTCTTGACGGATGACTGCGGAATAGCAGCCTATCTGTCTGGGGGCGGCAGAGAGAAAAAGATTTCTGATATATGTTTACATAAGAGGCGGAAAGGGGAGAGACAGAGCAAAGAAGGGATGATTCAGGGCATGGCCAAAACAAATGGAGGGATCTAGAAAAAGGCAATCAGCTGGGAGGGTGCTGGTTTGGCGGGGGAGGGGGCAGAACTACTGCAGCAGCAAAACGAATCTTTAAAAAACAACTGGAGAACACCCCCCCCCCCAGTCCTTTTGCATCACCGAAAGGAGGCAATTCTCCAATTTTAACTTGCAAGAGGAAGTCTTTGGTAATGTGTATGTGTTTAAATTTTCTGGAAGTAACACTTTTCTTTTCTTTTTTTTCTTCTTCCCTCCTCCCACGCTTTTCCTCCTAGACGTCTTAGTTCAGGCAAACTGCAAGACCTGGGGGTCAGCGAAGGAAGCAAGTTAACCCTTGTACCTACGGTAGAAGCCGGCTTGATGGTAATTTGTGTGTGTGTGTGTGTGTTTTTCCTCATCTCTCCCTTTCCCATGCATGTGTACACAAGACTGTGTGGGTGGAAAGCCTTGGCCTACTTAAGTTATCTGGATTCTCTTCTCCCCCTCGTTGCAGTTTTTTGTGCAGAAGCCAGATGGCTACTTAGCAGGGATGTTGTAGCACCTGGCTTTCCTCATCACCAAAGGGGTCAGACTGGATGACCTTCACAAACCCTTTTTCCTTCTCTATTTTTATTGTATTTAATACATCTGTATACATAAAACTGAAAGAATTGAGCTGTTTTGGCTCACTTCTGGCACACTTCCCCTTTTTTTCCTGGCAAGTCTCTTTCAGTTAACTGATTCCCAAGTCACTTGTGCGTAGATCGGTCAGCGAAAGTGACATGCAGAGGAATATCAGTGGGCAGGGAAAAGACTCCTGCATTTTTGCACGTGTTTCCCACATGCTCACTTGGGGTCTTGCGAGTGGGGCAACTCACATCTCAAAACAGATCCAGTGGCCTAGCCTTTTTTAAAAAGAAGGAATCTGTTTCTTGTATTAGCATCTCAGCCTTTCTTCCGGAGAGTTTCCAACCCTGTGGAGCAGGTTTAGGTTCAAAGTTGGTATGGAGGCTAGCCCTATGAAGCAGGAATGGGGTTTTTCTCCCCTTCCACTGCTGCCCGTCTATTCTTGATGGCATTGTGAAGGGGTCCACAAACTATAAATTCCAGTGCATATGGAGAGCTTAAAGAGAGAAGAGGGAAAACTCCTGTACAGTGTTTTTTTCCCCTGTCTTCCTGGTCACCTAGAGGCGATTCTGAGTGCTCCACAGGTGACCAGACCACAGTGTGTGAAGAGGGCTCACTCTCTCTTCTTCCTTCATTTCACAGTCTCAAGCATCCAGACCAGAACAGTCTGTAATGCAGGCACTGGAAAGTTTAACAGAAACTCAGGTAAGACTGAGGGAGAGCATGCATTTTTGGGAGCTGCAGGGGGAGGGGGAGATCAGGTGTGTTTAAATACATGCAAATATGTCTTTGGGGTACTTCTGCTTCATCTCCTTTCCACATCCCAGAAAGAGAAGAGGGGTCCCAGAGAGATGTGTGCAAGGAGGTCTATGAGATGAATGAACTGGTTTTCCTGAATTCTGGCTGGACCTGTGTTTAAAGAGATTGAAAACAGCAAAATATGCAGGCATGTCAAGGTTCTAGTCCATATGGAGGCCAAAGCAATGTGGTTTTGCTGAATTCTAGGTCAACATGCCTCACTATCAGTATTCTAGTTGGGGAGTGGGGAAGGGTAAAGATTGTAGTTCTCCTGGATTCTTCTTTGGCCTGCTGCTATATCAAGATTCTAGTCCATAGGGAAGGAAACCTAACTTTGCAGCAGGCCAGCCACATCCATTCTTCCTCTCTGGGGGTGTTCATCTTTGACCCCGGTGGAGTGCTCGGTGGAGAGAGCACAATGAGGGACAGCGACAAGCTGTTCCCTTGTGTTGTTGTTGAGGTGACGGTGTGTTGGAGCCCCCCATCCTGTGTGAGTGAAGAAGGTGCAAAACTCGCCCCCCCCCCCCAAGGTGTGGGAGAAGGTGACTTTTAGGTTCTGTAGTCCTAACACATCAGCAGGGCTGCGTGGTGAATTGGGTCCATTCCTTACTCCTCCCACAGATGTGCATGGGGCTGGAGTGTGTTGCGTGTTCCATTTGACTGAATGGGCCTTCTCAGAGGAAGACTGATTTTGGGTACAACGGGGCTTTCACTGTTTAGGAGGATCATGTGGCTGTGGGTCTTTTCCTTGGCTTTTGCCTCCAGTTCTCAGAGCGTTCCCCCTTCCACAATTCCAGAGCCTTCCAGGTGGGTTAGACTACACCCCCCATCTTCCCTGGAAGATGGGAGGTATAGTTCAACCCACCTGGCGGGACTAAAGGTTGAGATGAGTCTGCTATGAGCACATAATCTTGTCACTTGCCAACACAAGTCCCCCCCCCCCATTTCACTTTTGGTTTTTTCCTTCTTCAATAAGCTTAAAATGCTGTGATCTTTTTCTGCCCATTGATGGCAGAGGGTTTCTTGCCCTATAAAAAAAGAAGAGGCGGAGTTAAATCTGCTCTTCTAAAGCCTTCTTCAGCTGATGTGGTGGAAGGGGCCAGGAGGGGCTGCGAAAGAGACTCCCTGACCCCCGAGAGGGGGAAGCATGATGGAGTTAGCCCTGTCTGGCAGGACCAAGCTGCAAAACCGCCGTCTTTGTACAGGCCTTGACTTGCCCAGTCCCCAGAGCGGCTCCCTGCCCTGCCAACACTCCCCCCCCCCAACCACCCCACAGTTAATTAACTGCACAATAGCCAATTGGGCCTCAGCGGCGGCCAGCAGCCGAATCTTCCGTTTGCTCAGATGAAACTCAGAGTGTGTTGGTGGGGGACCGGTGCTTTCCGTTATGCCTCGTCTCTGCTATCCCTACCTGAAATCTGCTTTCCGTCGCCCCTGTTCCCAATTGTCCTATACTTGGAAAAAGCTCTTTATCCCCTCCTTAACTCAGCCCCACGTGATCTCAGCTTTCTGCACCCTCCTCTTCCTTCGTAGGCCTCTGCTGTTTTCAGGGTGTCCCCTGCAGTTAAAGATGGGAGGGTAAAGATGGTTCTTGCGCCTTCTCGGTTCAAGGGTGGGCCTTTGCAAAGCCTGGAGTTGGGGAAGGGGGGGCCGGGGCTGATTTTTTCCCCACCCCCTGCAAAAAAATCCTGAGCTGGCCCCCTGCATCCAGAAGGACAGAGGTGTGTCTTCCGAACAGATTCCCGGCTCGTTCCTGCCTGCCCCAGGGAGAGACAGCTGCAGAAAAGCAATCCCCGAGGGGCCCAGACCGAATGGTGGGACGGGGCGCGCGTCAGGAATGAGCGGGGCGGGGGAGCGCCAGCGAGCCATCTGTTTGTGGTGGGGCTGTGTTTGATTAAGTTGCCTGAGGTGTAGCTGGTTCCTTCCTTCCTTTCGAGGGCCTCTGCAACATTTCAGTAGCTGCTTTTCGGGCGGGCGGGGGGAGACGGTGAGAAGCAGACCCCCTGCTTGCTGGGTGGGGGCAACCAGCCCCTGGCTTTTAATGGGGACAAGGCTCCGGGCCGCCTCGTTGGTGGGGATGTTTTGATGCTAGCTCTTAATGATGTGCTTTCCGTTGTTGTTGTTGTTGTTGACGTTAATACTCATAGCAGTAGTGACAGTCAAAACCAGCGGAACAACAATAATAAGATGATGCTTTTTATAACACATTTAAGCTGTGGCAGATGCTGTGCTTGGATCCAAAGAGTGTCTCTTCATAGTTGGAAAAGCATGAGAGAAAAAAGGATGGGGAGGGCAGAGGAAAACAGATGAACCCAGCCACCTGTCGCCTACATTTGTGGTGCTTGCACCACACCTCAGCCTTCCAGTAGGGGTTGCAGCACATGGGTGGAGGCGCTGCTTGGAATGCCCAAGGCTGCAGGGCCGGTGCTTGACTTCCTCCACTGGGGTTAAGAAAAGTTCAGGACAACAATGGCTGCCGGTCAGTGTCGGACAGTTTGAGCAAGATGGACTAAGACAGGTCTGACTCAGTACAGAGGCAGCTTCCGGTGGTCCTATTTGGAAAAAGGGCTTTATTCAGACTCATGAGGACTAGATTCTTGTTTGGCCTTCACGGGCAAGAATGTAGCTCAGCATGGACAGTTCTGGGCAAGATGGCCCAGGGTGTGATTCGATACACAGCAGCCTGTTTCCTTGTTTGGACAGCAATCCCTGCACAACACAACTTCCTACTCGGCTAGGCAAATGGGTTTGTGTGTCTGCATTTTCCTCTTCCCTCCCCACCGCCCCTTGATCAATATCCTCTTAACTCCACCCTGAACCTTTTTGCGGGCGGGGGAGCAGAAAGTACATCCCTCATCCTTGCCACTGCTGCCGGTTCAGGATCCAGCAGTGTTGTGGCAGCCCAAACTCACTTCCTGCCCTTCCTGCTAGCCTGCCCTAAACTGGCGCCCTGAAGGCAGTGCGGCATGATGGGAATTGTAGTCCAAATCAGCTCAAGGGTGCTGCTGTGCGGAAAGGTGGTCCTGCCCGCACTGAGCAGAAACGTTTTGGAAGAATCTGCCTCATTCTTTGGCGAAGGGGTTGGGTTGTGGGTGGTGGGACACCCCCTTTTGTGTCCCGTCAGGGTAAAGCTGCTACCGATTTATTTTCATTTTGATGAGCCAAGATTTGCAGGTGTGGGTGAGGGTCATGGGGTCAAAAGAAGAGGTGGAGGTGAAAATTGTCCTTTTTGAGAAAGGGCTTTGGCGGCACGAAATGGGGAGAAGGGGAGAGGGGACGGAGAGTAAAATGGGGAAGATGGGCTGTTGCATGCAGTGCCTTCCCTCAGACCCGTGTCTTCCTGGTAGCTAGCTGGGGAGGATGGGAGTCCAGCGTACCCGAAGGGCACTCCGTTGGGAAGCTGTCCTACCTTCTCCCTGAACGAAGCCCCTTCAGACAACTTAATGCACCGTCTTTGCTGCACTAGGGATGGGGAAGAGCCTCTCAGACTGGGGTGGATTTGATTGTGGGGAAATGGGGAGCAAACGCCAGGGAGATCGGTGGTAGATTCTCTGGTGTGAGCTTCATTTGGCCGAAGCCCTCGGTCCACCCTGCAAGCAGCGGCTCTCCAAGGTTGGTCCCGCGTGTGTTCTGTGGTGGGGATTGCTGTCCCCGACCCCCAGCCAGCATGGTCAGTGGCTGGGGATGATGGGCATGGTCCTTCGTCCGGCAGTACAGACTTGCCTCCCCCTGGTTTTATGTATTTATTTATTGAAAGCTTTCCTATCCCGTCCCCTGCAGAGTGTCTCGGGACAGATTACAATAAAGCCGGTTTTGCAGGGGGCTCCTGTGTATGGGGCATCACGGAGGGCCGGGGCCTCGTCTTGCAGCCCCACCCCTTGGGCTCCTTCTCCCACTGCCCTGGTTTTTGGGGGTTGTGACGGGGTGCCCTCGTTGACCTTGAATGAGAGGAGATGATGCAACGGGGGAAACTGAAGTGGGGGAGTGTTTTTCTGGCCCCGTCCCTTTGGCGTGCCCTCGGCAGACACCCTGCCCTTGGCATAGGGTCCAAGCTCCATCATCCTCATCAGCAGCTGGGGGTGATGGAGGTCGTACTCGAGCATTTCTGGCAGTGCGGACGCCGTGTTTGCTCCTCCGCCCCAAATCTCTCCACAATGGCACCCTCCCTCCCACCCACAGCAGCCGGGGGGAGGCCAGGGTTACTTCAAGCCAGAGCGTGGCTTCGCAGCGAAAAGCATCGGGTGTTCTCTGAGTCATCCCTCGTTTCTTGGAACCTGGATTCGCTCTCGGGTTCCATTCAGAGGCGGTCAATTAAATGCCGCTTCTGCTCCCACCACCTCTGATTACCCTGAAGGTGGCTGCGTTCGTTACTTTCTCCCACACCCTGCACGCCCAGGCCACTGGGAGCCCTTACTCCAGAGCAGACATCCGCTGCCACCCCCCTCGGATCCTGCAATGGCCTTCATTCCTTCGCCAGGCAGCAGTTCCACCCCTGGACTTGTGTCCTCGTGCCAAGTCTCAGGGGTGGCTCAAGGGGATGGCAGTTCTGCCCCTGAGCATGTGCAGAATGCCTTCCCCCACTCACTTGCCACCGTGCGATCTGAATGCTGCGCCACCTTTCTGCAGCCTGGTGTGCTGGGCTATCGCTTCCATCATCCCCAGACAGCACAGCCACTCAGGGCTGGGTGCAGGGCCACCCAGCTCTTGAAACGCGTAGCCGGCCTCTCCCCACACCCAGCCCCGCTTGGGATGCCTGGGACGCTTGCATTTCGGGGCAGTGTGTGAAGGCAGCTGCTGTTTTCCCACTGCCCGTTCGTGCAAATAAAACAAAATGGAAGCAGTAACGGAAGTGTTATTTTTAGAGCTGCGCCGAGGTGCGGGGGGCTGGCCTGTGTGTTTGCATGATGGCGTGTGGGGAGGCAGAGGCAGAGGGCAAGCGGGCGTGAGTCAGCGGGCAGGCCAGGGACGTCTCCCCCAACTTAAGATTGGCTTCTGACGTCAAGAGAAACTGGAGGAGAGGGGGAAAGAACGAATGAAAGAGGGCGGCAAGCTGCAGCGAACAGATCCCGAGGAGGCGCCGGTCTCTTGATGCTGTGGGGGCAGAGTGGTGTAGTGGTTACAGTCAAGCAGCCTGGTGGGAGCTTCGGAGGGCTGGTTGAAAGCCACCTCTGGGTTGGTGGGAGCCCAGGAGATGCGGTTCTGGCTTCGATCTGTGTATCTCACCGTCTTTGCCTTGTTTGGTTTCCATTTACAAAAAATGGTTTCTGGCTTTCCTGTACCTGTCAGAGATCCCTGGTCTGCGGTGTGGCGGGGGTGTGGATCAAGGTATGGCCGGAAGGCCGAGGTGTGAAGGGCCATAGCCAGCTAGGCTGGTGCACGCAAGAGGTGCTTTGCCTCATGGCGTGTTCCTTTCTGCCAGTTTCAGTGGCCAAATCTGTGAAATGGGCGCATGGTGCCTTTGGGGCTTTCCCGCCTGCAAGCCCCAGGGGTGGGTGACTGGCGGATAATGTCTGTTCCTGCAACTTCTCTGTTGCCTTTCCCATTTCTCTGCTCCAAAAGGTCACACCGCACCCCTGTGAGGTAGGCCCCCCCCCCAGGTGTTGAGTCTCTTTACAAGCAGGCACATTGGACTGGGGAGTCTGCTTAATGTAAAGAGGGGGTGTCAGGGGACTTGAATCCAGGCCTCCCCCCACATTTTATTTATTTATTTATTAAAACATTTTTAATATGTTTAATAACTGCTCTGCCATCCCATTGGGTCTCGAATGGGGACCCACGCAGGGGGATCCGAGGCTGGCTCTTTTGGGGTGCATTTTCCAGCCATCCTGGGTGGCGGGGGCAGATAATCTAAGCCAAGCCGGCTTGGGACAGCATGGGGGGGGGCACGCATTTTGCTCTGGGGCGTGGGGGGGCGTCTTCCCCGTAGCTTCTGCGTGTATGAAAATGGCCATCTGCGCTTGCAGAACAAAGAGAACAGCTTCCATTCAGTCTCCAAGAAAAGGGGATTCCGGGGGGGGGGG